GAGTCCGATAATGGCTGGTCTTTAAAGGCCATTAAGAAATTACATAAGTCAAGTTCTTGTGCTATGTCAAAAGTGAAGTTCTCCCCGCCCTGGAATCACTTCACTCCCAACCAACAAGCTTCAAACTATAGGTCGCCAAGCCCATCATCTTTCAATAGTTCTAGACTTCTCACTATCAGTCTCTAAAGCTCTATCATCTTTCAATAGTTCTAGACTTCTCACTATCAGTCAGTTTTCCCACGTCCAGTAGACTTTCTTTCATAAACCCTGACTAATAGAATAGTGAAATTGGAATAGGCTGAGAAAAGGGCTAAGAGAGAAGCTTAGGATATTACTTAAGTAAAGGGGCGTAGCAGTTCTTCCGTGATCAATCTCGTTCCTTTCTCTTTGCTTAAGCGACTACGTACCTTAAATTGTTTTTACTCATTTCGTTTAGGTCAACTCGTCACGTCAATCCGTATCTAACAGCCGCGCCAAAGCTTCACTTCAGGTCGAACTCACTTCCATTTAGAATTCCCCAATTCCACTTTTATGGGAGTTTACGCCCTTTCTCGACCCTATCGAGCTCTTCCCGAACCTCCGCCTCTCCTCAACGAAGTCATTAAAGTGGGGCAACTCGTATTCGCTAACTAACTTAGGGAACTTAGGCACGTCACCCCACTGTGAATCTATCTTTCTTTATCGCGCTTTTGATCCTCTCGGTGGGAGAATGAATTAGTGGAAAGATCTGTTGTTCGATCTGCTGGGGGGCGATGAAACCAATATAGTATCGTTAATCCCCCTGGCCTGCCTTTCGAATGAAACAGTTATGAAATATCCGGGCCGGGTCTTGGGTCCAACAGCCGGATCGATTACAAGTCATCTCTTAGCCTTCTTTCCTTGTTTTGTTGCACTCATTCACTCCGAAATTCCATGCCCTAAAGTAAAGGGCAGGAGAGAGGGCAAAAGAAGGAAAGTTGCTTGCCCGAAGGGGAAGAAAGAGGGGCTTTTCTTTGCTGGCCTTTTCATCGAGAGATGCGGCCGTTGTTGTCTCTATGCCTTTTTGCCTATCTTACTCTTTCTCAAGGGACAGATGTCGACAATGCTATCATTAACATCTGATCTTTTTTATCTTCTCGAGAGAAGCCCAAGAATTCCGGCTCGGAATTTGACTCCTGCTTTTGTTAAAAAGTCCATACTTAACTTCATTTCATGTCTGAGTTCGTCATTGTCTTACCTGCTTTCCTGCAGCCTACTTAAGCCCGGAGGAGAATGCTTGCTGTCAGCTTCTATTCTCTATTCCTATCCGAGTCTATCTTTCATTGAGAACCTACCCCTGCCACGGTACCCACCTTCAAACAAACTTATACTAATGAAAATGAAGTAAATATGTCAATCTTGATCCTCGCCTAACTCAGTGTACTCTTGAGCCTTTCACAAAGGGAATTCATGCAGGCAGTTCATGGATAGTATAAACATTAGGCTCCGGTTTGCCCTGCCTTTGTCTAATTCCAAAGAGTTTAAAGTAGATTTCAGAATTCAATAAGTTTCCCTCAATGAAAGCGGGGATTTCTGCCTAGCAGTAGATGTCAGGTGAAGGGGCAGAGACGTCCTCTTTCTACCAGACATGTCTCATTAATGTGAAAACTGGCAAGCCTACGGAGCGGTGCCGGTGCGCTAGCTTAAGGAAAGCAGTTCGTTCAGGATGTTAAACTTCGTATTCAAACGGGAAACCTTTAACACATTCTTCTTTTTTCTCTCTATTTGTGACCATTCCCACTTCAAAGTCAAAGATTAGGAAGATTCTCCTGATTTTTGATGTTAAGGCCTCCTACAAAACTAATAACGAATTGGCTTAGCTCTCAAAACTACCGGCGAAGGAAAAAGTTGTCCGCAATTCATTACCTATTTTGAGGCTATAATTGTAATGAAAATATCAGATGGGAGAAGGAGAACCGGTTCGGCAATAAAACCTGGGAAGGGAGATGACATGGCCGGTCTGCGAAGAACAATCAAAGGAGTTTTCACTTCCTCAATTTAGGGCATTCTAGTTAGACATGCTACTTTCTCGATGTATCGATTCTTGGTAGACAAGGCTGGTTTAGATTGAGACGCCCACCTTTCGGTCCGGGGCTGCAGTTTTCTCTTTCAGTCGTAAAACGAGCTTGGCTTCTGGCAAAACATCGGGAGGAAGTGCTACTGCTTCCTTAATTCATCAATTCCCATCTATGAAAGGGATCCAATTCGGTATCTTACGTACGAATTCATGTTGTCAACGAGGATCTTAGCCCCTTTCCTTGTTGTTTTCCTGTAAAATGGACAAAAAAAGGAATGCCTTTGAGTGAGAGCAGAATGTAGGAACGAAGCTTCCCGGAGTCCATCGATTCATTCCCAATCCCGTCCCGTTCTCTCACCAACTTGAATAGCTTATTTTCCTTCTCAACTCAAGGTGATCTAAATATCATGTCTACGACCCTCACCTCCTCGGAAAGCGCCTTCGTTCCGCATCAATTGTACAATAAAAAATATCTCGATTGGACTAAGGAAGAACAAAAAATCTTCGCTCGATTATTATTTAGTTTCTCCTGTTACCTTGTTCAAAGCTAGCGCCCCTGCTCTTTCTATGAGTTGGCTACTCCGTTGTATGCTATCTTTCTCTTCACACCTGGCCACCCACCTGGGGAGTCGGCGTGGCGTAAAGTGAAGATTGAGGGGAGTAGAAAAAATTCCCGGTTCCTTTCTGCTTTTTTTCTTGGTACGGGATTAGCCTGTTTGGCGTGGTTTGTTACCTAAAAACACCATCCTTTCTTATTGGCGTTAGGAAAAAGTAGAATTTCTTTTTGAATCCCTGGGGAGTTTCACGCTCGAGACCAATCATCTATGTAAAATAGATGAGAGCGAGAAAGAAGGCTCGAGAGACCTGTCTGGAATCAATCAACAAAAGTTTCACTTCACCTGCAGGATTAATTAATTAGACCTTAATCAGGTTTAGATGTTAGTTAACATGTTGAATAACGCACATCGACCATAATTATGTCAACATTATAGATAATTACAGATTATATTCTTTATTTACTAAGCTAATCGATCATGTGACAAATGATTTACCTAAATATGGATAAAGCTGCTATTTTCAAGACTTTGTTCATGTACAATCAGATTCCTCTTGCTTTTATATTTTTTCTCTATTAACGAGATCGAATACAAAAAATTTTCCCCAAAACTAAAAAGGTCGATATATTATTTAATGTACGT